AACTGGGAAAGTGCCTCAGTTTGGAAGGGGGGAATGGTAACCTACTCAATAATTTTCGTTGTATTTTTTTTTTTTATTTATTAATTTTTTTTTTTACACAATCTAGAACTTCTTGATGTTTGGCAAACGTTCCCATAAACCATTTATGAGCATATTTGCGTGTTCAGTACAGATTCATAAAATTTCTTAACCGGCTAAATCCTAATGTCCTTTGTACTTAACTAAAATATTAATCAATTTATTAAAACAGTGATTGTAATGAATAACAGTTTAAAAATTCCTTCTATTTAAACCAGAGAATTGAATAAATAATATTATTTACCCTGATATTATTTTTGTAAATGATTATTGTTTAAAAAAAGAAAAAAATTGCAAGAACACAAAAATAAAACAAAATTTTATATTTAGCGTTTATTCTATTTTACTTTACTTGTAATTAATATTAGGCGATAAAAAAGTAAGTGAAGGTCATAATTATTGTTTGTTTATACCAAGTAGATATTTCTTTCTATCACGTTTAATGTAAGTAAGGAAATATTTCAGATCTATTTATATTCTTTATGGTAGGCAGAGTTTTTTCCATCAAACCCTACCATTTGTGCTTCTTTTCTCTTTTTGTGGTCCTTTTAAAAGGTCACTTGACACAAATGAACAATTGTAGTTAATTAGAACTTAAAAAGGTCATTTAAATAACAGAATTGAAAGTAACGTATAAATAATTTTGTAATACAATTATTTTTGTTATGAATGTTTATAGGAAATAAATAAATAAATAAAATAAATAAATAAAAACGACGTTTCAATACTAAGCACTTACTGTATTTCGCTTTATTTTGCAGGATAGGGAAATAAGTGAATAGATAAGGGCTTAATAAAAGTTTAAAAAGTTTCCCGTTGTATAATTTGTACTGTAATTTTTGTAATGATGATGTTTTTCAAATTTATAACAAAAACATTAAAAAAATCAAGCTTAGTATAACGCGCTTATTCAATTTTACTGCAATTAATATTACGACAAGATTACATATGATTACGACATGAAAATAAGTTAATACATAAGAACATAATACTTTTTTTTAAAAAGTAACAATGTGTATTGGGTTGTTTGGATTGTAATTTCGTTTCTTCCCTTTCGTTTCTTACTTAATTGTAATTCTTCACAGCCAACTTCACACTTAAGCGGCATAATCATTAAATATTTTCACAGCTGATGTTACAAGGCTTGCTTGTGAGAAAGTTTGATTAGTTCTACGCTTTAGTTTTTCGTTGGTACCGTTTCATATATAGAAAGGGAAAAGCAGCATATTTTACTTCTTTACTATCGAAAAGGTAAAAAGTGCTGCCCATAAGCGGGAAAAAAATTATCCAATATGTATGTATAAAAAGTATTGACAGAATGCCAATGCCAAATCTGATTTGCAAAATTTCGGCATTTTGATGTTGAAGATGCATCACATTCTAGATGGCCAGTTAATGACTATGAAGACACAAGAAAGGAATTAAGTGATGCACACCGGCGAATAACAACTCGTGAGATCGCTGAAAGATGAAATTCATCAAATTCGACGACAGTTCATGATTATTTGGAACTTATAGGTAACATATGGGTTCCTTATGTTCTTACGGTAAGAAATTTGAGCAGTCGCGTTGACGTCTGTGATTTGCTTCATAAGCGCAAAGAAAATTATCCATTTTGAAATGAATCCTCACTTGGGACGAGAAATACGTCATCTACAATTATGCTCGAAAATACTTCCCGGGAGAAAATAAAAAAAACTCCTGGAAGAGTTTTCTGCTAGAAAAGAGCAAAAGTTTTATGAGCGGATGCTACCAAAGGAAAGGTGGTAAAATGTATTACACCAGAATCGACAATATATAATTTAATAAAATATGTATTCACTGTAAAAAAATCACTTTCATTTAAAAAAAGGAAGTTACTTTTCAAACAACCCAATAATTTGTTTTGTAAGTTTTATAATGATTATTGTTTATAAATAAATGAAGAAAAAAATACAAGTACATAAAAATAAGACCAAGTTTCAATACTAAGCATTTATTGTATTTTGCATTAATCATAACTAGCATAATAGGGTAAGAAAATACGTAAATAGGTAAGGTCAAAATAATAATTTAAAAAATTGTGATTAGTGTTTGCACAATTATAATTTAAAATTACTGAATTACTAGAACATTAAAAAAAAATTTCATATTAACGCGCTTACTCTGTTTTACTTTAATCGTAATTAATATTACATGACAGGAAAATAAGTAAATATGTAAGAGCATATATTTTTTTAAAAAAAATAAGCAAAATGTAATTTCACTGTAATTTTTATAATGATTATTGTTTATAAATAAATGAGAGAAAAAATACAAGAACATAAAAATGAAACCAAGTTTCAATACTAAGTATTTATTGTATTTCGCATTAATCATAACTAGCATTATAGGATAAGAAAATACGTTAATAGGTAAGGGCATAATAAAATTTTGGAAAGCTGTGATCATTGTTTACAAATTTATAATTAAAAATTACTTGAATATTTTTAAAAAAAATTCATATTAACCTTACTCTGTTTTATTTTAATTGCAATTTATATTACATGACGGGAAAGTAAGTAAATACATACATTTGTAAAAAAAAAAAAAGCAGAATGTAATTTTTACAATTATTATTGTTTATAAATAAATGTGAAAAAAAAACAAAAAATAAAACCAAATTTCAATTGTAAGCATTTATTGCATTAATCGTAACTAATATTAGAATGTAGGAAAATAAATGAATGTATGCATACTAACAGTTTAAAAAGTTATGATTACTGTCTACACATTAATAGCAAAAACTTTAAAAGTTTCATAGAAAGCGCACTTAAATCGTACTTAAAATAACACGGAAGGAAGAAAATAAGTGAATGTATAAAGACATAATATTGTATTTAAAGTAACCAATATACAATTTGCCCAGTAAATTTTATAATAATTATTGTTTTTAAATAAATAATACAAGAATATAAAAATAAAAACAAGTTTCGTATTAAGCGATTTAAAAATAACAATTGATTGAGTTCCGCTGTTAGCGCTATCTGTCGGTTCACTTTCCGATCAGGCAATGACCTTTGGAAAGTGTTTTCATCCAATAATTTTATACGTTTCTTCTCAAAAAACATATTCCCTTTATAACAACTACAATCTTTATTAATATGACGGAAAAATATATATTTAAATAATAATATATGAGCAGATAATATAGAATATTTAAGTATTTATTTCTACAATAAAACATACATTGACGAAGGAAAATAGTTTGAAATTACTTTTTTTACCTGTTAATAATATTAATCCTTTTTACTTTAATAAAATTATAATTAAATAAAACATATATTCAATTTTTTCATTTCAACAAAATCCACACGTAAAATGTAATATAGAAAAATATATATATTGTCAAAAGAAAATTGTCAGAATTTCCTTTACAATATAAATAATTTTAAGCGTATACAATTTAATAAAATCAACTTGAATAAAATAGATATTCATTTTTTTCTTTTCAATAAAATGCACGAGTAAAATATAATATAGTAAAATATATATTGTCGAAATAAAATTTCTATCATTTTAAACTAGATCAATATTTTTCTTAAAACAAAATACCATTTTTTTTTAAATATTAAACAACTAAAATAGTGTTTTATTTATTAAAAACAGAAAATATCGGAACTTTAATGAAAATACGTCACATGCAAATTGTAATTTATTCAAAAAGAGAACAATGTTTTTAGAATGGAAATTAAAACTATAAATAAACAAGTATCAAAAAGTATCTTTTTGAATTTATTAGCAATATTTAATGAAAATGCACCTTTTATGAAAAATATAAAATATATTTGAATCAAGCAAAAATTATTTACATTTAAAAGGATCATTAAAATTAGATATATTAGTACAAAAAGTATAAATTTTCGGATTCATAGGAATATTTAATAAAAATTTGGCATTTTATAAATTTTATAAAATATATTTGAATCAAAAGAGAGTTATTTATGTTTGGATTAGAACTTAATATATATGAATCAAAAAGTAAAATTTTGGACCTGTAGTCAATATTCGATGAAAATACGTCCCTTTATGAAAAATGAAAATTATATTTATATCAAAAGTGAACTATTTATATTTAAAACTGTATTTATAAGTATCAAAAAGTAAATTTTTGAATTTGTAAGCAATATTTGAAGTAAAGTGAGAAAAGTCAAAAAGTAAACAGAGAGGAAAGTTCATTGACCTTCTAACGTGAGAATCATATTTAATGTTTAAGAAATATTTTAATTTATTAACAGTAGTTTAAAGAAGTAATTAAAACAATTCTATCTCAGAAATTAAGAAATAAAGATACTATTTTAAAGTAAATGGTCGCGAAAGTGACCGACCATGTGACTGAACTCTGATCTACGCCAAAGTTCAACGCACTCTACAGTAGATAACACTCACTCTCCCACTCTTCTCTCTTTCAATATACAAGTACTTTTAATTCAACAAAATTCCACAAAATTGCATTCATACACATATTTATATTGCATTATTTATGTAACATGTATTTACAAATTAAAATATACTCTAAAAACTTAGTGAATCATTCGAACACATGATCGTATTGCACTCAAGTCAAACTCATCAAATCGAAGTGAATATAAATTTAAGAAACAAAAAACTTAAATATACATTCCTATAATGTTAGATTCACAACTAATAATCCTCTAGTCACTAAACTTAATCGAAAAATATTAATTACTTTTAAACATTTCAAATCTCATGTATAATTTTTTCTCTAGAAAAACAACAATTTTTTTAATAATATGCATATTTTAAAAATATTTCTGTACAAAATGTGCGTTAAGATAACACCTTAGGTATTTTAAAGCAAAAATAAAGCTTAAAATAAATATTTTCATTTATAAATGTAAGATGTATATAGTAAGGTCATTGACACCATAGAAGTTACTTACCTCTAGTTCGTCTCGAAAAAGAAAGAAACACCTCAATTCCGGACATTTAATCTCAGAAAAAACACTAAAAATCCATCTATTATACTGTAAAAATGTACCACAAAAATAATTCAGTCCAAAAATAAGATACGAGCACTTATCGACGAGTCGATCCCTACGAAATTCTGATCATATGTAGTATGTTTGAGGAACAGACATCGCTCTCCCTGCCTTGGCGATCATCAAGGTTACCATTTTCCTTTATTTAGCGCTTTTCCTTCATTTATTCCAACTATTTACAGGATTATGATAGTTCGTATTCAAAACAGGAATGCCCATGGGGGTGTCAGGGAGATGCAAGTTTCTGTACCCATATTAAAGGGGAAGGCATCTTTTTAAACGTATTTGGAATAATTCTTTGAAGTTTTACAAGTGAAAGTTTGTTATGGAAAATATTTTCTAAATATTAAAGAGAAATTGTTCTTAAAATCTTTATTTTATGGGGGAATATTTTAGTCAGATTTTATGCTATCTTTAATTTTCTTCTTTACAATTAAAATTTAACAACTAGGAAAAGCGCATACATAACCAGGGGTTTAGTTAGAAATTGTTCTTAAAATAATTATTTTTTTATAGGATTATGATTGTTATATTTATTATTCAAAACAGGAACGCCCAAAGGGGTGACAGGGAAATGCAAGTTTCTGTATCCATTTTAAAGAGGAAGACATTTTTTTAAAAAACGTATTTTGAATAATTCTTTGAAGTGAAAGTTTGAAGTAAGTGAAAGTTTGTTACGGAAAATATTTCCTAAATATTAAATAGAAATTGTTTTTAACTTATTTTTTTTGGGGGGGGGGATTTTTTTAGTCAGGTTTTATACAATCTTTAATTTTCCAATTTTCTTCTTTTCAAGTAAAAATTAACAAATAGGAAAATCGCATACATGACCAGGGGTTTAGTTGGAATTTGTTTATAAAATAATTGTTTTTTATAGGATTATGATAGTTATAATTATTATTCAAAGCGGGAATGCCCATGGAGTTGTCAGGGGGATGTAACTTTCTATGTCCATTTTAAAGGGGAAGACATTTTTTAAAAAAAAATAATATTTTGAATAACTTTTTGATAATTCTTTGAAGTTTTATAAGTAAAAGTTTGCTATGGAAAATATTTTTTAAATACTAAAGAGAAATTGTTTTTAAAATCTTCTTTATTTTGTGGGGGAATATTTTAGTCAGATTTTATGCTATCTTTAATTTTGTTCCTTACAAGTAAAAATTAACAAATAGGAAAAGCTCATATATAACCAGGGACTTAGTTAGACAGGAACTGAATTTTTCAATTTTTTGGGAGGGAGGAGATTTCTTATTTATTTATTTATTATTATTATTTGTTTATTTTTATTTTTATTTATTTATTTATTATTTTTCTTGGTAGGTGATAATCCATATGCCAAACTCCTGTAGGTGATTGTTTTTTCTCATATAGCTTTCTCTTTTGAAAATGGTGTTTTACAAAACAAAACCAATGACGAGATTTCATTAAATCAGGAATAAATAAAAAAAATTTATTATTGAGATAAAAAAAAATTTTTTTGAAATGTCCGGATATTTTCTAAAAACGAAATTTAAGTTTTTCTTTGAGGATATGTGCCTCATCATCCTTGGGAATGGATACCACAGATTTAGAAAATTATTTAAAATAAATTAGCATAAAATTAAAAGACTTTTAAGGTTTATAGTAGACTTCTAAAATAAATTTCTTTAATTATTAACCACTTTTCCCTAAATTTAAAACTTAATACTAATGGCTTTCCCAATTATTAATTAAAATATCTTAATTCATTTTTTTTTTAGTTATTGATTTTTTTAAAATTTAATATATTTCAAATTTTAAGATGCTTCAGGTGTATCAGTTTTGAAAGTTTTAATCTGATATTTTTTATGTTTCATATTAAACACAAACACACTATAACTTAAACTCTTGGATTCATTTTAAATTTTTTTAAAGGAATAAAATATTTTCACAATAATCCTACTTCTTTTTTTAAAAAAAAGAACAATTTTTTATTTGAAAAAAATATCTATTTAATTTGCACATTAAGCAGAAAAAAAAGAGAACTCCTTTTAAACTGATCAGATTTTGCTATTCTAGATTCAATATTAATGATTTGATGGAGCAAACGATATTTCAAGACACAGAAACATTATTCCTCCAAATAAATGCATTACAGAGGACTGATCGTAAAGACACGGTTCCCAGTAGAACACCGATCACCGGTCAGTAAGCGGCTTTGATCTGCCAGCGTAGGGACCGAGGGTGCCCGGTATTGGTCCTCGTTCAACTGTTCTACTGTAAAGTGCTAGACTTCGCACGCAGGTCGTCGGGCTACCAAAGCAGGGGAGTCATCCCCTCTGCAGAGGATTAAAATTGGGATGGCATGTCTTCTTATCATCATCAGGGACGCTTCCCAGACCGTCACCAGACCAGAATTGCGATGGCAGCTCTATCGTGACGTAAATAAAGTACCTTCCTCCAAATAAACATGCATTTTGTTCGATGGATTCCTGAACTTTAAGTTATGGAGATAACCGCAATCTGGATATGACAAGGCCGGTATAGCCTGGTCGGTAGGGCACTGGTCCCATGTCCAAGAGTTCGTGGTTTCGATCCCCTCCGACTGAAGACTCCCCGTGTAGTAAATGGTGACTGATGCACGTTAAATTTGTCGAGTCGCAAAGTCCTCCATGTTCCCATTACAAATCAATTCCTCTGGGGGTACTGATCCAGGAATTTCCTTGTCTTCTGGATTGGTTCAAAATTACAAGGCTACGGAGTTGAACATTAGTAGTCGTAAACCCAAAAATTGGGTCGGCTGTTCAACGACGGATATTAAAATAAAATCTGGATATGATCCTCAATGTTAATTTCCTTTATTGGGAATTAATATAAATTCCACAATTAATTTCATTTCTCAAAAACAATTCGACCGATTTATTTTAAATTTTGGAAAATTCCCGGCCAAATATTAATAACTACATTTTATTTTTTTTTATCACCGAATAAAAATTCAAATGAATTTTGATAATAATTTCGAATCTTGATATGACGAAAAAAATTATTAAATGAGAGGTACATAAATTTTTACATAATTCTAAACAGCATATTTTTAAATGACAAAATACAAATTTTGAACGAAATCAGTTTAATAGTTTCTGAGTTATAAAACTTCAAAAAAGCGTTTTTTTAAGAATTCATTCCATAAGAAAAATTCGAATTATTTCGTACTAAATTTGGATTTTGTCATTTTAAATTATACAATCTAGAATAAAACAAATTGTGTGTAATTTACAATTCAATACTTTTCCATCATTGTTAAATAAAATAATAAAACAAAAATAGTAATTATTTTTTACATGGAAATGGATGAACGAATAAAATCTTCGGATAAATGAAATTTATAATTATATCCAAGAACATTTTAATTAATCAATTTACCTGGATTAATTCCTGAAACCTTTACCAATTACAATTGAGGAATACACTAAAAAGTGAAATTTCTCCCCCATTGGAACCCTATTTTTCAGATTGCAGCTACCCCCTCCCCTATTTTGAAGATCATGAATCCAAATCCCTCGAATAAAATTTATGTTTATTCAGAGGAAGTACTTTAAGTGCCAAATTTTGCAGCTCAAAATATTTTTTTTCCAATGGAAGAACTGATTTATTACATTCTTCGCCCTTGAAGATGTGTTTCTCATATAACATTACTATTGGCTTCGCAATCTGGCACCCTGACCACTCGGTCACCAGGGTGGTCAACTTAAAATATCGGCTGCACTAATTAATGAGCGTGTTTTAGGTAAGACCTTCGAACCATAAGGATTGATTACTTAAAAATTTGATTAAAAGTTATTAAGGTGGCGAGTTATACCATATCATAAACAACCAAAAATACATAAGACAAAATACATAATCATAGGCAAAATACATGTTTTATTTCTTTGTTTAAAATTTAAATGTCCATGATAGCATTTATACATTTGTTCCTAACTTCATTTTAGAGGGATGATAGCGTTTTTCAAAAAAAAAGTGGTCTAATTGTATTTGTTATTAGGATTCATTATAATTGATGTGCGTGTGTGTGCGTGAATGCGCGGTCGTTGGCGCACATAAAAAGTTGTTTTTCGCGATGTTCACCGGCTTACCGGTGAAATTTGCTTAACGTTATGCATTGACGTATCAAAGTTTTTTTTTATCAAGTTTTTCTTTTTTTTTAATATAAGAAGTAGTAAAAAATGTAACGATAAATAAAGTCTGCCGATTAAGCCAGAAAACCTTTTCTTTTTTCCTTTGCTGGTAAAATAGGAAACAACTTTGAAGCCTTCCTATATCTGTATCTTTTTATAGATTTTGTACAATATGATTAAATATTTATAAGTTCAACTTTATACTGCACATTGAAATAAATAAATATTCCTAAATTCGTTTTATTTACATTTCTTCATGAGGGTTTAATCGTTTATTCAGTTTATCTCATTTCCCCAAAAAAAGAAAAAATTGCTTAAATATTTCTGCTAAAGATTGACAAAGTTAGATATAGCAAGATTACAAAATCATGAACGACGTGGCATAAACACCCGCAAAGGCAGTCAGAGTGATTTACCTGATATAGCAAAACTGATAAACTGCCTTATTTCAAGTGTGAAATCACGCTGCAAGCCCTATAATTGCGGACTAAACCCAGGATTATTGCTGCTGTTTCATACATTCCGACTCCAACGAGTGTTACTCACGATCGTGTATTACAATTGTTGAATGATAATTTTTTTTGTATTGTTTCAATGTATGTACATATCAAATTTCATTAAAATCGATCCAAGTGTTCTAGAGATAATCGACCAAGTCTGCTCTTAATTTTTCACACCAGTGTATATATCTGGAAAAGTGATAACAATAAACAGCTAATAACCATTAATTATATTAAACCTACCGCCACTGTTTATGCTTTTAATCGGTTTTATTTAATTTTAGCAAATAAACAGGATATTTATACTCAAAGATCTTTCTAGAAATACAGCAGGAATTATTTTAAAACTGGATTTAAGGAAATATATGTTAAGGAATTGTTATAAAATATTTTTGGACACACAACTCTGCAATCAGCATTTTTTGAAAAGAAGCTTAGTATTACACATTTGTCTGACTTTAAATTTTGATAAATATCTTTGCTTAGACGTAATTCATATTAAAAAAGTATTTTAACAGCATGCAAATTGATTTTTAGCAAATAACGTGCCGTAAATTTACATTATTGCTGCATGACTTAAGCGTACCAGAGTGTTTCTACAGGCAGAGTCCGGTTATACACACATGATGTTCAAATCTACAACCAATCCGTTTTTTCACTGTCAAATATC